TTGCTGGGCGGAGGGCTGTGGGGACCATGGTCTCGGGGGACATCTAGCTCAATTGGCATAACACTGTTTATAAAGACAATGTTCCATATTCTACTTTGGTGAGTAGTGTCTGGGGTCTTAAAAGCCATCTAAGATACTCCACTGGTCTCATCCCTTTGGGAGCAAGGGAGAATGAAGAGAACAAGATACAAGGAAAAAGATTAGTCCCAAGGACTAATGGTCCACAGCTACCAAGGCCTCCACCGGACTGAGTCCAGTACAGCTAGATGGTGTCCAGCTACCACCACTGACTGCTCTGACCAGGATCACAACAGAGGGCTCTGGACAGTGCTGGAGAAGGATGTAGAACATAATTCTAACTCACAAAAAAAAGACCAGATTTACTGGCCTAAAGGAGACTGGAGAAACCCCAAGAGTATGGCCCCCAGACACCCTTTTAGCTCAGTGGTGAAGTTATCTCCGAGGTTCACCATTCAGCCTGGGAGTGGACAGCCCAGTAAAACCAAATGGGACTAAGGAGGTACAGTAGTCCAGTGACAAGGGCCAGAAGGCATAAGGGGACAAGGAAGTTGGTGATAGGGAACCCAAGGTTGAGTAAGGATGTTGTTGATGTGTTGTGAGATTGTTAACCATTGTCATAGGGCAACATGTAGTAACTGTTAAATGAGAAACTATTTTGTTCTGTAAACCTTCATCTTAAGTGAGAATAGCAGCACAATTGGAAGAGCGTAGTCAATGTCACTGAACTGTGCATGTAGAAATTTTTGAAATGGTATATCTTTGGCTATGTGTATTTTCACCAAAAAAAAAAGGTTGAGAAGTTAGAGGGTTGACATGTTGTGGGGTTGTTAACCAGTGTCATAAAACAATATGTGTACTACTGTTTCATGAGAAACTATTTGTTCTGTAAGCCTTCACCTGAAGTACAATAAAAAAAAAAAGTTAAAAAAAAATAAGCCCATAACTATCTCCTCATTTATTTACTCATTCAGTCTACATGTATTTACTGAATGCCTTTTATGCACTAAAAAAAAAACAAAAACAAACCAAAAACCCGTTGCCGTTGAATTGATTCCTAATTCAAATAACCAAATCAAAACCAAGCCTGTTGCAATGGAGTCAGTTCTGACTCATGGTGACCCTGGGTGTTACAGAGTAGAACTGCTCCATATGGTTTTCTTGGCTGTGATTTTTTTAGCGAAGCAGATCTCCAGGCTTTTCTTCCACAGTGCCGCTGAGTGGGTTCAAACCAACAACCCTTTGGTTAATAGTCAAGCACAAACCATTTGTGCCACTTAGGGACCTAATTCAAAGAAGCCCATGTGCTCCCTTACTCTGTTTTTTATTGTGCTGACCAGTGGATTTGCCTTCATGATTTTCTACATCATAACCCTCAGTTGAAATGCCTACTATATGTCTTCCAAGAGTACCGTTTTATTTGTCTTATGGAGCTTCCTACTACTTGTCTATAGCCCTAAGTAACAGGATAATTTCTTTTGAAGGGTGCTGGCTTTCCAGATTTTTTCTAATACAAAGGAAAACGTAGCGTTGATTCATATGTAATAAGCCCACCCATTTAAGAGGAAAATAAGCCCTGGCTCATGTCTGGATAGCTGGTGGGAATCAACTTTTTATCTTTTTCATATCCAGGGAAGTAATTACTGAATTCACAGAAAGGAAAGACTGTAATCCCAGCTATGCTGTGACCATTTATCCTTGGTGATATGGTTATTATGTCAACTCAGTTTAAACACAGTAGGAAGAGGAAGTGTCTTCAAAATCATTCACCATGGGAAAGACATGACCCAATTCTGAAATGTGAGGCAACCTCTGACTTTGCCAGCAGACATGAAGGAATGCAGTCTAAGAAAATACAACATGTTGCATAGTCAGATTAACAGAGTCTTTCTGTCCATTGGAGTCCCTGGGTGCAAAAGGTTAACACACTTGACAGCTAACCAAAAGGTTGGAGGTTCCAGTCCACCCACAGTACCTTGGCAAAAGGTCTGGCTATCTAATTCTGAAAAATCAGACACTGAGAATCGTATGGAGCACAGCTGTATTCTGACACACATGGGGTTGCCGTGAGTCAGAATCAACTCCACGCCTACAGGTTTTGTGTCCATTAGAAAACGGTTCTCCCAAAATGCAGACTCTTTAGATGCAAGCAAACATCCTTCAGGTTAACTACATGATCAAAAAGCTGAACAAGGGGAGGAATGCTCCGTAAAGCTCAAGTGTGAGGAGACTTTGACAAATGAAGATTTATCAGGAACAAACATAAAGCAACTTAAAAATGGCACCTTGGTTAAGGAGGAAATGATTTAATTGTATAAGATTAGATTTACAAATTTTGCTGTCATGAGTTACTTAATGTGGCCCTTCTAGCCATGGTCTTTGTGACTGACACACAATGATTGAGCGGGACTATGCAAATAAGGTATATGCGACCTGTGATAGTTGGGATTATGTGTCAACTTGGCCAGGCCATGATTCCCAATATTGTATGGTTGTCCTCCATTTTATGTGTTGTGGATCCTGACCTATACATGTTGATGAGGCAGGATTGGTATAGGGTGTGTCTTGGGTTACAGCCTTGCAGGAGGGCACGGCTCAAGTTCCACCCTTACTCAAGTTATGCCCTTCCCTGAGGTGTGGCCTGCATCTAAGATATATGTGTGTGTCTTGGCAGGGCTCTCTCTCTCTCTCTGCATCTGGATCCCTAGTCTGGTTCGTGATCACTTGACCTCCGGTTCTTGGGACTTGAGCCAGAGGGCATAACTGACCTGCCAGTTCTGGGATTTACAGGCCTCTACAGCCCCTTGGGCCAGCGTCCTACTGTGTGACCAGATTCGCCAGCTTCCGCAGCCTTGTGAGCCAGCAGCCTGTGGTCTGAACTGCCCATTTGGGTTCGTCAGCCCCTGCAACCATGTGGGTCGGAAGAAGCCTACGCCTGACCCAAGAATTTGGGACTCGCCAGCCTCTACAACCGCATGAGCCATTTCCTTTATAAGTTTCATGAGGTCTGTGAGATGTTGCAGTTAATTAGGGAAACCAAAGATGGGAGGGCGGGTGCTGAGGGGAAAGGGAGTAGTTGATGTTAGAAATGATGGAGTGGTACAGCAGCTTGGAAAAGTTCGAAATTTGGGGCATCTTTAACCTCCGCCTCAGAGGAATTAGCTTTGTGCTGATCCTTATAAAGGAACTATTCATTTACAAACGTTCCTATTGCATCCATTGTGTAAACAACCTAATACCTAGCTTTTTTTTTTTTCCTTGGTCTAGGCAAAACCATAGATCCCTCTTTTCTATATGCATTAGGTAGTTTTTATCCCAGGTGTCTTAGTCTAGTGCTGCTATAACAGAAATACCACAAGTGGATGGTTTTAACAAAGAGAAGTTTATTTCCTCACAGTTAAAGTAGGCTAAAAGTCCAAATTCAGGGCATCAGCTCCAGGGGAAGGCTTTTTCTCTCTGTTGGCCTTCTTCTCTTTGGTGTTCCCCTGGACTAGGAGCTTCTCTGCGCAGGGACCCCAGTCCAAAGGACGCGCTCTGCTCCCAGCACTGCTTTCTTGATGGTATGAGGTCTCCCTGTCTCTCTGCTCACTTCTGTGTTTTATATCGCAATCCAATCTTGTAGACTGAGTCTTGCCTTACTAACACAACTGCCGCCCATCCTTCCTCATTAACATCACAGAGGCAGGATTTACAACATATAGGAAAACAACACAATACCAGGAATCATGGCCTGGGCAAATTGATACACACATTTTTGGGGGGACATAATTCAATCCATGACACCAGGGAAGTGCAAATAACTCTGCTACTGAGTAGCCAAAACAAATCCGTTGCCATCGAGTCGATTCTGACTCATAGTGACCTGGTACTCTTTATATTTTCAAATTCTAAATTCTACTCTGTAAGGAGGTAAAACCATAAAGGGAGGTATCTTAGCTACTCAAGTGTTTCTCGCTCCCTGGCGCATGTTTGCCACTCTAGAACTCTAGAACGTGTGGAGGGTTGCATGTTAATAGGCATAGAGCAGATGGTAGACCTAGGAACTAATTCAAGAAAGACACGGATAAGAAACGAATACTCTGCTGTATAAACAAAGCAGATGAGACTGTAGTAGGGTGGAGATGTGACGTGATCTGAACAAGGGAAAATCAGGGGAGAGTTTTTGAGCAGTGACTCAATCAAATTTATTCAGTTCACTGTTGAGTCTGTTTACCAGCAGGCATTTTTTTAATCATTTGCCTTCTATCTTCACAGCTCTACACCAGGCACTAATTTTGAACATGGACACCAGATACTCAAGGCCCAGATGACTGTAACTCAGGTCCTATTGGCCTAAGTGGCTAACACATGCATAGATTCTTTCAGAAGTGTAGGAGAGAGATACTGTCTTATCCAGATAATAGTTGAATTGTTATAATAGTTAACTTCTCTTATTTTAAACAATTTCCTTTGAGACTGAAATGAAACTTATAGAAGTCTTACAGAAGAAATTGTCTCCCAGATTGGTCTTCCCCATTCCATGGAATCAAAGCAGTTTGGCTGTTAGGAATTAATTTCGTATTTTTTATTTTTTGTCTTCTTGGCCCCCTTTGACAGACCCAGTTACTGTCTTTATAAAAGCCTATTTGATCTCTTCTGTATCTTTTCTTGGCCTCATTCATTGGTCCTGATAAAGCTAATGTTCTCCTCTGCTCTTGACCTACTAATACAGGATGCAATCCACCCATGCGTCTTTGTTCTTCTGGCACACATACGGTATTTAAATTTGAAATGGGTTACCCCGAAAGAATGAACAATCTCTTTTGAATATCTTTTTAGAGTAGTTGGTTACAGAGTTGTCTAGAAGTAGGGAAATGGCTGAAAAGACCCCTTACAGTCTGTTCAGTCCTTGGGCTGTCTAATTTTATGCAGAGATTTTTGTAACTTTCTTGACTGAGCCGCTTTACATATGATCAGGAAAAGATGATACTGAAAATAGTGACCTTTGATTCATCCGTCCATTCAACCGCGACACGTTAACTGAAGAAGTCAAAAGGGCCAAGCTCTAAAAGCTCAGGATACAAAGATGAGAAAGACACTAGGAGAGACAGAAACGTAAACTAATAATTGGCATCCTTGTGAGAAAAACATAAGGGCATCTACCTCAGGTACAAGGGTGGCCCCCCAGGAAGCGATAATAAACTCAGTCTGAGGAATCAGAAGTGACCTGGCAGAGCCCTCCCAAGTAGAATTACCTCCAGTTGTACCCTAAGTTTGATGGTATTCAAGTGATAAATGTGCAGTAGAGGAGAATCCCTCTTCAAACCAATCTCTCAAGTAGCAAAATATAACACCACGTTCTGGAAAGGAGAACAGCCTGTAATCACTCCTCCAGTCACATCACTTGCTACAACTAGACAAAGTACTGCTGATTGAAAATGTGCATTTTGTACCTTTGCTGAAGAACGGCTGTGACCTGCTTGCAGAAATTCTCTCCATTCTGAGTAAACTCCTTTAGGTTCTTGTACACTTTATTATGCTAGGGGGAAAAAAAAAAGGACAGGAGGGTTATGAGCACTTCCAAAGACAGAGCGTCTATAAATCCAGAAGGCTGCTGTAATGACGGCCGTCACTGTAAACGATCATGCAGCTATGAGGACGCACTTCTTTGGGATGAGTTCTTAAAATTAACATTAAGTTTCTCTTGCCTGGATATGAAAGATCCTAGAGAACTTTCCAAAATATATATATATATATATATACTGGCTTACCTGCTTCTTCCCTAGATCAAATGTAAACAATTCAGCAATGGGGTGCATTTGGAGTCCTGTCATTCCTACTGTTTCCAGAAAGGTCAAAAAGTACATTCTAAAGGACACCTTGTAACCATTTTGTGTCCCCTACAACTTCAAAATCATATTCCTGGGGCTCCTGACTAACCCTGAACTATTACAGTGTTTCTTGGCTGAGATGTGAAAATGTAAGTGAACAACTTGTGAATGTAATTTTTTCCTAGTCCTCTCCATCTTATTTAACTCTCATAATGAAAACGTCATAACAGTGAGTTGAATTTTTAGGTTGAACCAAACCTTTGTAATATATGAATTTAGCCCATTAATACCAAGTGAGAGATCTTGTCATTTGATTTAGAACTCGATAATATCATTCTGAAAATTGTATTTGTAAATGTAGGCACTGCCCTGGTGGTGCAGTGGTTAAATGCTCAGCTGCTAATCAAAAGGTTGGTGGTTTGAACTCGCCAGCCACTCTGTGGGAGAAAGACGTGGCAGTGTGCTTCCATAAAGACTATAACCTTGGAAACTCTATGGGATGGTTCTACCCTGTCCTATAGGGTCGCTATGAATTGGAATCGACTTGGCAGCAAGGGGTTTGGTTTTAGGCATTGATGACACTAGATTTTTAAGAGCCCAAATGGAAAGGGTCAATGTTAGTTGATCCTGCAGCTTTCCTGACACAGTGGGTGATCGAGGCTATGCACAGTCCCATACAACATACTCTCTGAGGTTCCATTTGGTAGGTGCGACAGCAGACTGTGCGTCTCAAAATGAGATTTTACATCTTGTTGCCATTGAGTTGATTTTGACTCATAGCAACCCTATAGAATGGAGCAGAACTGCCCCATAGGGTTTCCAAGGCTATAAATCTTTATGGAAGCAGACTGCCATGTCTTTCTCCCAAGGAGCAGTTGGTGTGTTCGAACCGAAAGCCTTTCAGTTAACAGTAGAGCACTTAACCACTGCGCCACCCTGGCTCCTTGAGATTTTTCATAAGAGGAGGAAAATTCTGTGTGGATTGAGTGTCATGCTGTGGCTCTTTGTGTGTACAAGGAGCCATCCTCTTTTTTTTTTTTTCGTAATTGTACTTTAGATGAAGGTTTACAGAACAAACTAGCTTCTCATTAAACTATTAGTACACATATTGATTTGTGACATTGGTTACCAACCCCAAGACATGTCAACACTCTCCCCTTCTCGACCTTGGGTTCCCTATTACCAGCTTTCCTGTCCCCTCCTGCCCTCTAATCCTTGCCTCTGGGTTGCTGTGCCCCTTTAGTCTCATTTCGTTTTATGGGCCTGTCTGATCTTTGACTAAAGGGTGAACCTCAGGAGTGACTTCATTACTGAGCTAAAAGCGTGTCCAGGGGCCATACTCTCAGGGTTTCTCCAGTCTCTGTCAGACCAGTAAGTCTGTTTTTGTTACTTACCAGTAAGTAAGTTTGTTTTTTTTTTTTTTTTGTGTGTGTGTATGTGTGTGTGTTAGAATTTTGTTCTACATTTTTCATGAAGCCATCCTTTTCCGGCGCTCAAATGTTCGACAGTTGGGCACCTTGCTGAGGAAGGAAGAGAGGAGGAAACTCATATTTACTGAGCACCTGCTAGGCAGCAGGTGCGTTCACACCTGTGAGCACCGTCAGGGCCCTGACAATCTTTCAGTTGCTAACAAACTAACACACAGAGGAGGCATAGGGCCACAGAGGAGGAAGAGGCCAAAGAAATAACCTGACCCAGGTCCCTCCCTGCAGAGGGAACGAACCAATACCTAGGATATAGAAACACAGTTTTATAGACACTAAGATCGTTTTATCTTTATGCAGTAGTTTAACTTTCCTCTGAATTTAATATGGAAAGCCAGGACAGGGTTTGGTAGACACAGAGTAGTAGCTTCATTGAAACTGTCTGGGACACAAGGACTGAGGTCAGGGTGCAAAGCTCTTTGTAAGAAAATGTTAACTCCTAAAGCAGGGTTTATGGGGGCAGTGGTAATTCAGGGGTGGAATTCCTACCTTCCATGCAGGAGACCCTGCCAACATACCTCAAGCAAAGCTACCACCTGACTGTCAGTGGAGACTTGAGTGTTGCTGTGATTCTGAACAAGTTTCAGCAGAACTTCCAGCCTAAGACAGACTAAGAAGAAAGGTCTGGAGACCTACTTCCCAAAATCAGCCAATGAAAACTCTGTGGATCACAACGACCCAATCCCCTTGTGCCTGAGGACTCCATGAATTGGGGGCCGACTCTGTAGTAGCTAACAACAGCAAAGCAGGGTTTGCAAACTCAGATGCCTGCAGGTCCATCAGGCCCCTGAATTAGTAAAGAGCAGGGTGGAGACAGTGAGCTGAAGAGCTTGCAGTGGCTGGCCCACCACTGCCACGTGGAAATGAGGCTCAGAATGGCCAGATCTGCCATTTTCTCTATAAAAGCCAAACTCCGAATGTGTATCTGACATGAGATTTTAAAAAAATTATAGTGGACAATTCATAAATTTTAAAGCTCTCTGCAGAGTCAGTAAAACACACTTGCAGTGGGATTCCAATTTGTGGTCTCTGTCGTGAAGAAATGATTCTCCTATGAGTGTCATGAGAGTAAAGTCACTACTTGGCAATCAAGCTTTCTAATTTTTATTTCCTACAAATAAAGCTAGTCATATATGAATGATATGCTATTGCTAAGGTCTTCTTTCTCCCATTGAAGGTACAATGGAAAAGTTTAGGTGAACACTTTAAAATTGCGAGAAGTCCTGCAGTAAACAAACTTGTTTAAGTTTTTTGTTTACTTCTGTGTTACCTAAACATTTTCACCAAATTTCCCCCCTAAGCCTTTTAGTTTTTTCCTATAACACCTAATTAAAAAACAACAGCAACAGCAACAAAAACCAATTGCCATGGAGTTGATTCTGACTTGTGGCAACTTCATGTGTGTCAAGAGTAGGACTGTGCTCCACAGGGTTTTCAGTGGCTGATTATTTGGAAGTAGATCACCAGGCATTTCTTCCAAGGTGTCTCTGAGTGGACTCGACCCTCTGACCTTTCGGTTAGTGGCCAAGTACATTAACCATTCGCACCATCCAGGGACCCCCTAGTAACATCCCACAAAACACACTTAGGTGTCATGGGAATAAAATAGATAAATGTTTGGCTGGGTACATTCCCCTGGAATAAACTCATTTCTCACCCTCCCTCACACTTAGGTGCAGCCATGTGACTAAGGGCTGACCAAGGAAGTGTGCGTGAGAGTTTTGTGTGGGGTCTCAGTGACGGCTCCTTAAAGGGAGCCGACTTGTCTGGAAGATGTGCTCTTTTATCTCTTACCTTCTTCCTCTTTCCTGCTACCTGAACGTTGAGAATGATGGATGTCATGTGCTAAGATTATAAAGCAAAAAGAGAAAAAGAGCCTGGATCCGTGATAGCTGCGGGGCCACCACACAAGCCCTCACTACTCTACTTTTGGACTGATCTTATTTTGAGAGAATCCATCCTTATTTTGAGTTTTTTTTTTATATATATGCAACTGAACGTAATTCTAACTCATAACCAGACTTCTAATTTTTATTTAAAATTGTGGAGTATTTTAAACATACAGAAAATAATAATGATATACACTGTGTACTCACTACCTAAATTGCAGAGATATTAATATTTTTCTTCTGCTCTATCTGTAAACAACTTCTTCTTTCCTTTTCATAATTTCTTTGGCTATTCTCCGGCATTTATTCTTCCATATGAACATTTATCTAATTAAAACTTTTAAAAAATTCCTGTTGGAATTCTAACTGGAATTGTATTACATATATCTATATTAATTTGGGGAATCTGACCTTTTTATAGTATTTCTACTTCTCATCCAAGGACATAGTAAGTCTTTTCATTTGTTCAAATCTTATTTTACATTCAATAACACTTTATGATTTTGTTTATAGGTTCTGTGGCTTTCTTATTTGATTTGTTTTGAAATATCTCACAGTATTATGCTGCATTTTTTTTTAATGTATTGTCCTATCTGCTCTCTCAGTGATACGCAGAGAGCCTTTATTCCCCTCTCCAGCCCACAGCAAAGCAGAAACAAAGACACAACAAACAAACCACAGGGCCAAGTCCAAAATAGAAAGATTTGGAGGCATGCTGGCAGAGTGAGTTTCTTTGTTCTCAAATACTGTACAAGTCTGTGGCTGGTGATGAGAGGAGAAGACAAAGCTGTGAGAAGGAGTCAGGGGACTGGTAACCTTCAGAATGGGAGCGGGAAGAACCGCCATCAGGAGAACCAGGAGTGGAGGGAAGGGACTCAGAGATGAACAGTCCTAGAAAAGATGAGCCCTCACCAGCCCATCACCACCTGAGGGTAGTCTGCCATCCAACAGTCCTGAAAAGAGACTAGGGAACCTAGGACACTAAGTGAGAAAGGGGGCATATGGGAAAACCTTGCTGAGACCAATACGGAATGAGCAGAAACAGTTGAGAATTTTCTATGAGCTGGGACCGCAGGGGATGCTGTATTTCCCACACTTATTAAGCCATTAAAACTCCCCCAAACACATTTTTTTCTAGTGTCTTTGGGGACTAGATTTGGGAGGCCAGGCAACCATGAAATTTTTTAAACCAAGGATTGAAAACTCAGTGGTCTTCAGAGGGGAATGGTGGAGACTATAGCAAAGTGGAGAGTGCCCATCTCCCCTAAAGGCATTCAAATTCAGCTTTTTAAGATAATGGGCTGCTCTAACAAAGCACATGGTATGGTTTCAATTGACCTTTGGGCTGCCAGTTTGAGATTCTTGAAGATGGTTTCCTGTTATTTAATAAACTATTACTTCCAAATTTTTTTCACTGGTACAGTATGGTTAGCCCCTGGGTGGCAAATGGTTAAGTGATCGGCTACTAACCAAATGTTTGGCAATTCAAGTCTACCCAGAGGCTCCTTGGAAGAAAGGCTAGGGATCTACTTCCAAAAAATCAGCCATTGAAAACCCTTTGGATACCTCTATAAACAACTGCCTCCTTTGCGATAAGACTAGAAGAACTGGACGGTGCCTGGCTACCATTACTGAACAATTCCATCAAAGAGTTTATAGAAGAATCCTGATCAAAAGGGAGAAAAACGTGGAACAAAGCGTCAAATTCTCATGGAATCCAGACTCTATGGATCCATCGAAGCTGGATGAACCCCAAAGCTTTTTTCCCGAGGATATCTTTAAACCTTAAACCAAAACCATCCCCTGAAATAATCTTTAAACCAAACAGTAATTTAGCTTAATTGGAATAGAACGTCCACCTTGAGTGTTGTGTTCTTTTAACGAATTATCTATCTGATATCAAATTGATAATAGCAACTTGAAAGGTTAAATGAGAAGCTTAGCGGACAGTGAGGTAGTGTTGATGATGGTGAAACAATTTGGAAAAAAGATATCAAGAAAGCTAGCAAACTTAAAGAATGTAACTAATGTCACTGAATTGTACATGTAGAAATGATTGAATTGATGTATGTTTTGGGTATGTCTTCATACACACATACACAAGATATATATATGTATATATACACACACATATAGAAAACCCTATGGAGCACAATTAGCACAGTTCTACTCTGACACACATGGAGTCACCATGAGGAGTCCGAATCAACTCAACAGTAACTTGTACAGTGTAGTTAATGGATAAGTTTGTTCAAGGCAGGGGCAACTGGCCCATGGGCTCTGGCACCTCAGCCACACCCTAGAGATGGTGTCTTAGATACACCTGTAACACATTCCCCAAACTTCAGTGTGCCTGAGTACACACAAGTGGGGAAGCTCTTCAATACATTACATTATTGTTAATTTAATGGTCAGATAAGAGTTAGGATGGTCTGTTAATAATAGCAGTGCAGAGAATCTTTATCTTTGACCCCATATACAATGTGCGGGAAACTCCCAGATAAACCCTGATCCAGACTGAGATAAAGGTGGCATCAAGAAATAAAAAGTTGCAAAGAATATTTCCATTATCTCAGCATAATCCCTTATTTAGTAGCAGTAATTCTATACCTTTCATCATGTACCATCTACTTACAAAGGCAAAAGGTGTGAAAAGCAGACTTGCATAAATATCAAAGCAGAACCCAGAGACCATCCAGTGTGTGTGTGTGTGTGTGTGTGTGTGTGTGTGTGTGTGTGTGTACACAGTCAGAAAATCTCGGAACAAATCTGCTTTGAGGGATGCAAAATCTCTTGACCTTGGCTTTGATTCCCCAGCTCCTGTCCCATCTCTCTTTCCCACTCCACTTCCATCTACCTTAAAGGACTCTGAAAGGATTCCAGGGAGCAGAGTTTGGAAACCACTGAAGTCCAGTGGTGACGCGCTCAGCTGCTAACCAAAAGGTTGGTGGTTCGAACTCATCAGCCGTTCTGCAGGAAAAAGATGTAGCAGACTGCTTCGGTAAAGATTTAAAGCCTTGGAAACCCAGTGGTGCAGTCCTATAGGGTCTCTATAAATCAAAAAAAACCCACGTTGCTGTGGAGTTGATTCTGATTTATAGAGACCCTATAGGACTGCACCACTGGGTTTCCAAGGCTTTAAATCTTTACCGAAGCAGACTGCTACATCTTTCTCCCACAGAGAGGTTGGTGGGTTAGAACTGCCAACCTTTCGGTTTGCAGTTGAGCACTTTAACCACTGTGCCACCAGAGCTCCCTGTTCTGTGCAACCCTAGAGGCCCATGGAATGGAATGTTTTGCAGGTGGTTAAAACTTTGGGTTCTTTTATAAAACTACTTAAGGGTTTCATGAAGCATTCGTTTGCGATCCACTCCCATGTTTTACTTCTGTTCCCAAACTGCAGCCTCATCTTCACACAGCATTGTTCCCCAAGTACAACCTAGGACTGCACCAGGAAATCAACTGGAACATTTGGTCAAGATGAAACAATGGCAAATAAATAAAGATTTCGTGACTTTTGAAAGTTTAGAAATCTCCGCTGAAAGGATATCCTCCTCCTCTTGACTCCTGGGCTACAGCCTTCAGGGTTGTAGATAAGGCACTACCCCCCACCTTGGAGTGATGGCTCAGTGTAGGGTAAAGCACATCAGGGAATTCAATATTAAACTATCACAGAGATACAGTGACAAGTTGGGGGTTGGTTAAAAAAAATTCTCCCAAATTCTAGACTGCTGCCTAACAGCCTGGGAAAAAGCTGTTAGGGTTTGATTTCCTTTTTTTTTTTTTAAATAGACCCTGTCCTTGGTTTCCCATTCTTCTATTCCATTCTTCCCTTGGTGCTGACTTTTTTCTTGAATGACTCTTGGGAACAAGTTTTTACCTCTACTTATCCCATCCCTGGTCTACTCCACCATTTCTATGCAAAAATATCATCAAAGTGTCAATAGTGAGATAGGAGAAGATTTAAATTTTTGGTAACGGAGCAAATGCAAGGGGAAATAAACAAACAAATACATAAAAGACCTAAAAAAAAAAAAAAGTTCTCCATGCTTGCCAATGGGGAGAAGATTTGGATGGCGGTAAAGGGGGGAAGTTTTCACTGTTAAAGTCTATATGCAACCGTACAGTTGGAATTTGTTTTTACATTAAGCACATATTATTTTTGAGTCTAAAAAAGTAAAAGTAGGCAGAGCCTGTTACTACATTGTCATTATTGCTATTACTAGCCTTTTATGTGTTCATCTCATTTAGCTTATCTGAGCAATGAACTCCTTTTGTGGACTAAACACACAACCCATTGCCGTCTAGTTGATTCTGACTCATGGTTACCCTAAAGGACAGAGTGGAACTGACCCATAGGGTTTCTAAGGAGCAGCTGGTGGATTCAAACTGCCGACCTTTTGGTCAGCAGCTGAACTAGCAGCTGTGATTCCATCTTCTCTCAGCCTGTGCTCCCCTCATCCATTGAATAAACAAAAATGAATTAAATAATCCTCTGCTGATATTTTTCCTTCTGGCTTTATTGCTGGCCTGATTTACCTGCCTTTCCAGTTTGTTTTTTAATAAACTATATGAACAATGAATGCAACCCTTTGCTGTTGATGTGACCATTTTTAGTTTTTTGGCACCATTTATTGAGATAAGACATTGTTAACCAAAGTAAATATATTTTCCCTTATTTTAGTTGCTTCTCACATTCTAAATTACATCTCAGCTATTGTCACTAACAATCTCACAGTATCTTTGTACTTTTGACCAATTTTCTATTTTTAGTAACTTTCCCAGGACTGAAACAAATATACTGGTAAATCTATGTGAGAACCACCAAGGGCAGGGACAGGGCAGGGACAGAGCAGGGAGTCTGTCCTTCCTACTCCAGGACTTGAAGTCCTTGACTCTAAATGATAAGGGAAAATACACAAGAACCTATCACCCTGACTTCATTCTCAGAGCCAAAAATTGGCTACATTTGTTCTTTGTGTTTTTGTACAGTATCTGCTTTGTACGTGATGTTGCTACATGCCTTAAGAACGTTTTCCTATCAGCCACCATCTGCATCCAAATATGACACTACACCCACTCTAAGCTTTTCCGAGAACGTAAGAATGAAACATGACAATTACCTGCCCTGTCATTTGCTAGAAAGGGTTCTGTTTCAAACTGAACCAAAGAAAAACCACAGACTTTTGTATTGCAGCCAATATCTAAACATGTTTGGATTCTGACCGTCTCAAAGTTCATAAGTTTTAAAATCCAGTAATACAGAAAACCGCCCCCCACCCGCCCTCTCACACTCAGACACACAAACCACCAGGCGCTACTCACCGAACAATTTGTCAGTGGGTCCCTCATGTTGAATGATTTTTTGCTTCTGTCCTTCTACCTACAGCCCTAGCATTTGGACGCTGCAGTCAAGGTTGGGTGTGTCTTGGACTTCCGGGGTTTAAAGGACCTAGAGTACGTCAGTCCTTGTCAAACACAACAAGGAGGAAGTTCCAGCCTTGGACTTTCATCCCGTTTGTTTCCTGAAAAAGCAAAGAACTGCTGCAAGTCAAGAGAGCTGGTGTGAGATGGTGAAAGTAACTTTGTAAATACTTAGAGGGCAGGATAAAAGTGAAAGATTGTAAGTGAATCCTGACTGGTGCAGCCTTGGAGAGAAGGCCCAGCGGTCTCTACAATGCCCCTGATAATTCTGGACCCAGGGATAATGGCGTAAGGATTCATGTCCTCTCAGCTTACCCCAAAGGATATATCTGTAGCTATCAGAAATACAGTAGACCTGTCAAAAGTACATAAAATCACCTGTCTACATCATGAAAGAAAACTCATTCTGTGAAAATAAAAATGTCACATTTGCTCATCACTTTAGAAAATAAAAACTTTCATCCACCAGACCCAAGTAATCTGTGTGCCCTTTAAATATATTAGGCCATGAGCCCTGCATACGATCTCATGTAGTGCTGCCAAGCCCTCTGGGGCAAGAGAAAAGCGATAGAAAGACTCTGGGGCCAGTTGGGGTGGGCTGAGGAACTCTGCTGTCAATAGAGCCTTGAATGAAGGGCCAGTTTGAATGGAGTCTCTTTTTTTCCTTCTTCCCTTATCCCACTCTTCTCTTACTCCTTCCCCATGAACTGTAGGGAGACAATGTTGTTGTTAGCTGCCGACGAGTCAGCTCCGACTCATGGCTACCTTATGTATAACAGAATGAAACATTGTCTGGTCCTGTTATGCATAAGATTTTCATTGGCTAATTCCAGAAGTAGATAGCCAGGTCTTTCTGCCTAGTCTATCTTGGGCTAGAACTTCCACGGAGCTTGCTGTTTCTCTGCTCTAGTCTTACCAGTTGCTGTCAAGTCGACTTCGACTCATGGTGACCCCATGTGTGTCAGAGCAGAACTGTGATACATTGGGTTTAAAATGGCTGATTTTTTAGATGTGGATTATTGCCATGCCTTTCTTTTGAGGCATCTCTGGGTGGTCTTAAACCTCCAGCCTTTCAGTTAACAGCCAAGTGTATTAACCACTTGTACCACCCAGGAACTCCACGGACTAATGAAAGCTTAATTGAAAATTGCTCAGACTTTCTAGGTCCCTCAATTCTCTAGTTCTCAAAAAGTTTGGAAAAGAGAAGGCAAATCATCCACCCTGGGGACAACACGGGAACCTGTCTGCAACCCCTCCTGCAATGGTAAGCACTACAGTGGAGAATGTCTGGAAGCGTTTATCAGGGAACACAGCACGCATTAACCACCTCTCTGAGTCTAACTCAACCCGGCCACCACTCCCCACTCAAACGGACCAAGAAGCTAAGCTAACAATTTAAGAAGGATTTTTCTACATTCACCTTCATTTTTTTTTTCCTACTTAAAAAGATAAATAGAATTAAAAGTCAGCCATCAGCAGCTTATTTTTTATTGCTCTCTCTGCACCTGTGATCTGAGTTGCCAGTCCCTAGATTTTCAGGTAATGGCCTGTTGCCTTGTAATGGCCATTTGCTGGGTGGTCGGCTGCTTTGCTCTGACTGGCAGGCCTCCTGCCTCAAAGGAGCACCAACAACATAACCCAGTCTGAGCTTTAAAAAATCCATTTTTCACTGGCCCAGCTTGCTAGACCTTTATTCATCTGTTTCTGGGGCACAGGCTCCATTCAAATTATCTAGAAAACAATGTGAAGGGGGAAGAGACAAAGAGGAAAGAGAACTTGCCCTTTAGGCAGAGTGGAAAGGAGGAGAGAGATCTTGAGTCAGGGACCAGCATTCACACATTTAGCAATGCGCTTCCCCTAGGCTTAGCCAAAGGAACTTATTCATTGGAGGTTAACACATAACCAACCATCACGTGGATGGAATTAGACAACACAAGCCAGCACAATGAAACAACTTATAAACAGGCTATAAAATGAGGTCAACAGTATGCGACTCAGATTCCCACTGGAATCCCTGCCCTCAAAGATTTTAGATAAACTTGGTTGCAGCCTCAGTTCCAGGGCCTGGGACAGCTCGGAGTTTCTCCATGATTCCTTCCCCCTTTTTCCTGCTGCTTTCTGTCTCTGTTCAGTCCCACTTCAGCCCAAAATGGGGAGCTTGGATTCCTTTGCCAGTTTCCATAAGAACTGCCATCACACCAACTTACTGTTATCTTGTAGTCCTGCTGAAGAGTGGGAGGACATTCCTATACCCGGTCTCCTCACATGACACCTTCCCAGCAGGCTGACTAGCTTTCTCTTAGGCCTCCTGGACATCTGCTAAATTAAAATGTCTCTATCTTGCTATAGCATCTCCGTTATGCAACCATTGTTAGGGTAGCAGGGTGTCCTGGCTGAATCCAGACTGAGAATTAGAGTTTGGCTATCTGCTGAGCTTCTCAGACAGGTATTTGAACATACAAAGAAGCTTTGATTTGGAGGTCAGAAAGAGAATGTATCAGTTATCTCCTGTCACAATGATGCCAGTGGCTTAAAGTGACACAGGCTTTATTTTGTTTACAAGACTTGGTTTAGCTAAGTGGTTCTTCTGGTCTCCCCTGGGCTCACTCATGCAAAAGCCTATCTTCTACACAGCTCTGCTGATCTTGGCTGAGCTTGGGTGGGCAGCTCTTCCAGACTCTACTGGGACTCACTCACTTGAGTAGCAGTTGGCTAGCTGTGGGCTGGCTCTTGGCTGGGGAGATTTGTCATCAGTTAGTTTAACCTAGGCTTGTTCTCAGGACATGGCAGAGGAGCCAAGAGAATGAATGGAAGTGCTCAAGGCCTGCTGAGACACAAGGCTTGAAACTGGCACACCATTACTTAAGCTACATTCATTTGGTCAAAGTCATGAGGCCAGTCCAGATTCAAGGGTAGACTCCTCCCCTTAATGGGAAGAGCTGAACGTCCTATTGCAAAGGGCATAGATACAGGGAGGGGCAGGTCACAAAGTTAGCACTAGTTTTGCATTCAATTTACTACAATGTTCAGTCAGTATTTGTTCCTGAGTGACTAGAGAGATAAGGCAGAAAAGGACACTGGAGAGAGTAGATGGAATATGTCCCTTTCCACATTTCAGCCTGTGGGACAGATTTTTGAACTTCAGTAGAGATTAGGGTTAGTGTCATGGATTGAATTGTGCCCCCCACCCCCGCAAAATATGTGTCAACTTGGCTAGGCCATGATTCCCAGTATTGTGTGATTGCCCACCATTTTGTCATCTGATGTGATTTTGCTATGTGTTGTAAATCCTACTTGTATGATGTTAATGAGGCAGGATTAGAGGCAGTTATGATAATGAGGCAGGACTCAATCTATAAAATTAGGCTGTGTCTTAAATCAATCTCTTTTGAGATATAAAAGAGAGAAGTGAGCACAGAGACAAGGGGACCTCATATCACCAAGAAAGAAGTGCCAGGAGCAGTGCATCCTTTGGACCCAGGGTCCCTGTGCTGAGAAGCTCCTAGACACGGGGAAGATTGATGAGGAGGACCTTCCCCCAGAGCTGACAGACAGAGAAAGCCTTCCCCTGGAGATGCCACTCTGAATTTGGACTTCAAGCCTCCTAAACTGTGACAGAACAAATTTCTGTTTGTCAAAGCCACCCACCTGTGGCATGTCTGTTATAGCAGCACTAGATGACTAAGACAGTTAGGGAGAGAAATAAGAGAAGTTATGTTCAAGACAGAATCTAGATACAGATTTGGAAAAAGTGTTATTTCTTCCTCTCACCCCACATCCCACCTGCCACATACCAAAGAACAGCTCTGACTCCTGGAGGAGGGGATGGAGGGGGAACAATAGCACAGCAGGGTTCTCTCAGGTATCTCTAGCAGCAGAGGCTGTGGTTGGTGAGGCACCATGACAGGGAGAGGCTACCATGAGCAAACGTGTCCTTGAGCATGTGAGAATACTCCCTCCATCTCCCTGGCCCCCAGAAATGGCCCAGGGAGGCTTTGAAAGGAGGGAGCTGAACTCCTACATGAGCAAGAGAGGCAAAGAGCCTTATAGTTCCAGAATTAAAATTAATATAACCTCATTGATGAGAACTACATATGAAATATCACCTCAAAGAAGGTATACTATATTTACTTTCTAAAAAATTTAGTGCCCAAATATCATTTTGATATTATATGCCCTCAGATTTGTCTCTAGCTATGTTCCTGATCCTCATTCATTCTCTGGCTTCTTTCCACCCCAAACCTCCAAGCTGACTTTCTGTTTGACCTCCAAGATCCCAATCTTCCTATTTCCTTTCCCGTCTATGATTAGCCTTTGCCTTCCTCACATGGTCTCAGTGCAGAAAGAAAATCCACAATAAATGCACTTGGTTCTGGCCTGGAACCCAGTCCACCCACCCCACACCATTTTGTATTGCCTCTAAGGGGAGTCAACAACATTAATTCATATTTGTTAAGTGCTCATAGCAGAGTTTTGGTGCCCATAACTTATTAAGAAACAGTAGTCCAAATGTAGTAGAGGGTAAAAATGAAAACAAAAACAAAGCTGCAAGCCAAACCATTGCTGTTGGGTGATTCTGACTCATGGTGACCCCATGTATGTTGGAGTAGAACTGCTCCTACTGTTTTGGATCTTTTCGAAGTAGGTAGCCAGGCCTTTTTTCTGAGGCACTCCTGGGTGGATTTGAACCACCAAACTTTAGCTGAGTAGCCAAGCATTTAACAGTTTGCACTACCCAGGGACTCCTAATAGAGGGTAAGGGCTGTTTAAAACTTGCCTTGGAAGCTTCTTTATTAACCAAAGAATTGGAAAGAATAGCAAACTGAATGTTAATAAGCAATTAATAAAAGCTCATGTTTAGAGAACTTATCATGTGTCAGGCACTATCGTAAGTGCTTTACAAATATTAACTCATTCAATCATCACAGTAATCATTTGAAGTAGACCTGTAGTGTTAATGGAACCCTGGTGGTGCAGTGGTTAAAAGCTACAGTGAGCTACGACTGCTAACCAAAAGGTTGGCAGTTTGAATCCACCAGCCACTCCCTGGAAACCCAACTGGGCAGTTCTACTCTGTCTTATAGGGTTGCTATGAATCAGAATCTGAGTCAGAATTGACTCGATGGCAACGGGTGTGTATTATCATGATCTTATAACACAAACGGTATTATATAACTGAGGCCCAGAACAGTTAGGAGACTTCCCCAACCAAGATCGCAGTTAGTGAGCAGTATAAATGGGATTCATCTGACTTCAGTTCATGTTTAATTACTATTATATACTGCCACTCAACCTGTGAAATACTAAAACTCAAAAAATGAGAATATAACACATTTAATTATATGTACTAACTTAGAAATAAGTTGCAAAAGGATAAGTATATCTTTGGGTGTTGAGATTATGGTGGATTCCTACTTTCTAAGTTATATATTTTTGTATAATTTTAATATTTAGAACAAATATGTATTGCCTGGGAAACCAAAAAGGACAATTAAAATTTTTAAAAAGGATAACAATTATTCTAAGTTTAATTTGGAAAGAGGAAAACTTGACAGGTGAAATGGTGATAGCATGCCTTTCATACCTCCGGAACTTTGTATATGCTGTTTCTTCTGCCTGGAGGTCCTTCTGTCCTTACATTGGCCTCGCTGGTTTTTATATATCTCCAAAATCCAGCTTGAGTCATTTCCTCCAGACAGACTGCACTCTTACCTTTGTACTAGTGCTCTCCATTGCATACACTTCTTTTG